TCGAGCGTCCTCGATACTTGGCCGTCTCCCGTCTTCCTGGGCTCGTGCGTGCGCGTGCTCAGTCGAGCGTACTCGACAGTCTCTCGCCTTTACCCGCCGCCTTGAGTCAGGGGTTTGTCCGTCGGCGAACTCCGCTGAGCGTACTCAGCCTTTAGGCGATCCGTCTAGCGACCAAGAACCCGGGACGGTGTGTCCGCCGTCTCCGCTGAGTGTCCGCAGCACTTAGTCGTTTCCTCCGCGAACGTAGGAAAAAGGGAAGGTGCGTACGCCTTCTCTGTCGAGAGTCCTCGGCCTCGACGGACGAAATCATTTCGCGTATCCCGCGACTCGCGTGCGTGCGTTCGACCGAGAATCGAAATCTCCGGTCCGGCGACCATCTATACGCGAGCGATTGCGAGACGAGTATTGGGCGATAATTGTCCGAGACGCCCAGCGTCGCGAAGCGAGACCGATCACCGCGCCGTTACCGTCGTTATAGTCTACACGCATCGCGCAATAGGCCCCGCCTTCTGCACGGCCTATCCGTCCGTGCGAGCGCTTGTACCGCTCACCGCACCGTACCGTATCGTATCGGCGCGCCTTATAGACGCAACCCGCGACACCGCCTTCGGGGCCGAACTCTTGTATCTCAGTAAGCATACAATAAAGCTAAGTTATTTCGATTGCCATTGTCAAGTGTCTCGCTACTTTACTCCTCCTCGAGCCCGGACTCCGACGAGCAATATCCGCGCGAAACGCGTAGCAGCGACCGAACCGCGGAGTTCGGCCGTTACATTTGGCGCCCGAACAGGGACCTTAGGAGGAGGAAAGCAGTAAGAGTGATTACGGGCCCGATCGCGATGGCGTGGGTATATAAATTGTCAAAACAGGAGCTGACCGAGCAGCTGTCCCGTCACGACTTGCACACGGACGGGACATTCGAAGAATTGCGAAGGCGGCTCGGTCAGTTCGTGCGAAAGCATCCGGAGTTGTTCAAGGAGGACAACGGGACGGCGACTCCCGCAGCAAAGACCGATGAAGGGACGGTGGAAGTCCGCGACGAGACACCCGAACTGTCCATACCTCCCGAGGGGCCCGAACCCCCGATAGCCAAGGCCATGAACCAAATTAGGAAATGGGGTTGCTTCTTCGACGGACGAAATCCTCACGAATTTCTAGAACGGGTCGAAGAACTCAGCGAGGTCTATGGCTACACGGGGGAATACGTTCTTCGAGGATTGCCGGAAATGCTGCGGGGCGAGGCCCTCGCGTGGTACCGTCTCAGTCGGCACACATGGGCGACTTGGGAGGATTTCCGAAGGGACTTCCATGCGGAATACCTACCGCGCAAAATGTTAGCGCAACTCCGCCGCGAAGCACGGAGCCGCATACAAAGAGACGGGGAACCTTTCCGAGCGTTCTCCAATGAAGTATTAACGCTCATGCGGCGCGCGGGTGGATGGAGTCCCGAGGAGCAGCTCGAGCTGCTATATGAAAATATGCACCCGGAATACAAGAGGGGCATTCGCATCGACGATGTCACGAGCATCGGGGACCTCCGTGCGCGAGCCGCAGAGCATGAAGACATCGAGCGGCAGATACGCGACCGCCGGCGAGACTCTGCAGCGGACCGACCTCCTCGACCGTCGCGCGTCGCGCCGACCACCGTCAGCACGTACAGCAAGAACGAGTGCTGCTGGCGGTACAAACAGAGGGGGCACACTCGGGTAGACTGTAAGCGCCCCCCGAAGAAATTCTGCTCGCAATGCGGAAAGGACGGAGTATTGATCCGGGAGTGCCACCCGCTGCCGGGAAACGACCGACGGGCCGAGACCTGCCACCCAGAGTCTCGGCCCTGAGGAAACAGCGCATCAGATTCACACCGCGGTCCCACATAACCGTGCGACTGAACGGACGTGACGTCAACGCGCTCCTCGACTCCGGATCGGAGGCATCATTTATATGCCCCGACATTGCCCAGCAAGTAGGGGTCCCGATCCGGAAGTCGAGGCGACCCGAATCGATACGACTGGCTGACGGAACACTAATACAGATAGCCGGAACCATAACGACAGACATACAAACGGAGGACAGAGACGTGAGACACGGCCTACGAGTCCTGCCAAAGCTCGGCAGCCCAATGCTGATTGGAGTGGACTTGTGGGCCAAGCTACAGATGACCCTGTCACCACCACCGAATAACGCGACACAGACCGAACCATCGACCTGTACGATCGAGGACGGACTGACGCCACGAACCCCGGACGAGACCGCGCGACTGAAACAGTTCCTGGAACGGGAATTCTGCCTCTTCAACAAGGTGCAGGGACCGACGGACCGGGTATACCACGACATTCGACTGACCGACCCACGTCCCATTTAGCAGCGGTATCGGCCCCGGAACCCCGCTATGCAGCAAGTAATAGATGAGGAGGTCGAGAAGATGCTGCAAGAACGCGTGATCGAGCCCTCTCACAGTGCGTGGAGCTCGCCGGTAATTGTGGTGCGGAAAAAGGACGGGTCGCGAAGATTCTGCGTAGACTTCCGTAAATTAAATATCGTCTCGGAACCCGATGCCTATCCGTTACCGCAGATCGCCGCTACCCTCGACAAACTCCGAGGGGCGAAATATCTGTCCACGCTAGACCTGCGGAGCGGGTATTGGCAGGTCCCCCTGTCGGCCGTGAGCCGCCCCTTGACTGCGTTTGCCGTGCCGGGGCGAGGGTTGATGCAGTTTCGAGTAATGCCCTTCGGTCTGCACTCCGCACCCGCCATTTTCCAACGACTGCTGGATGGCGTACTCGGCCCTGAACTCGAGCCCCACGTACTCGTCTACCTAGACGATATCATTATCGTGAGCCGGATGTTCGAGGAACATATCGCGCGGCTCAGGGAGGTCTTCCGGCGGCTCCGGGAAGCACGACTGCGTCTTAACACGGAGAAGTGTCGTTTCTGTGTGAGCCGCCTACGGTACCTGGGGCATATCATGGACCGAGAGGGCATATCCGTACCGACCCAGAAAATGTGAGCGCAATATCGGAATGGCCGGCGCCCACGACCGTGCGAAAGGTTCGGCAGTTCCTCGGGCTCGCGTCGTGGTACAGGCGGTTCATCCCCGGTTTCTCTGCGCTAGCCGCCCCACTCACGCGACTCACCCGGAAGGACGTGAAGTGGAGGTGGGGCGCGGACGAGGACGCCGCGATGGCCGCACTAAAAAAGCGGCTGACCACGGCACCGGTGCTCGCGTGCCCCGATTTTCGGGAGCCCTTCCAGATGCAGACGGACGCGAGCACGGAGGGGCTGGGAGCCGTCCTCATGCAGCGGCTGGAAGGGGCCGAACGCGTGATCGCGTACGCGAGCCGAACCTTAAATCGCGCCAAGAAAAACTACAGCGCGACCGAGTTGGAGTGCCTCGCCGTGATCTGGGGGATAAGGCGAATGCGCGACTACCTGGAGGGCTATCGCTTCACGGTGGTCACGGATCACCTCCGGTGGCTGCGCAGCCTGGAGACCTCCATCGGGCGACTGGCCCGCTGAGCCCTCGAACTGCAACAGTATGAGTTCGAGGTGCAATACCGGCGAGGCGCTCTCAACACGGTCGCCGACGCGTTATCGCGACGACCCGAGGTAAGCGCCATCATCTCGGAAAACGGTTGCCCCTGGTACCGCCGTATGAAGGCACAGGTAGCCGCAGACCCCGCCGCCTGGCCAGACTACGTCATCCAGCAAAGCCAGCTCCTCCGCCACGTCCTGCACGAGCTGGATTTCTGCGAAACACCGGCGGAGGAACAGTGGAAGGTGTGCGTGCCCCGAGAACAACGCGCCCAGATTCTTCGCCAGCTCCACGACGAACCCACCGCCGGCTACTTGGGGATAGCGAAGACGATCGCCCGCGCGGTCCGCCGATATTATTAGCTCGGAATGTTCCGGGACGTAGCCCGACATGTCCGGGCCTGTGAGACCTGCCTCGCCTATAAGGCGACATAGGTCAAACCCGCGGGCCTTCTGCACGCCACCGCGGTCAAGGGCCCGTGGGAACAGGCCACCATAGACCTGATGGGCCTTCTGCCGCGGTCGACCGGCGGCCACGCGTGGGTCATCGCTATGCAGGATCGCTTCTCCAAGTGGCTAGAGATGCGACCACTCCGAAAAGCGACGACGGGGGCAGTGGAGCAGGCGATCACCGAGGGCATTATGCACCGACACGGCTGCCCCCAAATAATAGTGTCCGATAACGGGAAACAATTCCATTCCGAGCAGTTCACGAGATTCTGCGAGGCTTACGGCATACGTCACCGCACCACCCCCATCTACGCGCCGCGCGTCTGTAATCCGGTGGAGCGGACAAACCGCGTAATCAAAACAATGATCGCTCAGTTCGTGAGAAAAAACCACCGCAAGTGGGACACTCACATTTCAGCGCTACAATTTGCGTACAATTCGGCCGTCCAGGACTCAATAGGCTACAGTCCGGCCTTTTTACTCAGCGGGCGGGAGTTGAGTTCCCGGCCGGAGACCCGTACCGACGCTCCACCGGAAAGTCGCCGCCGGCAGCTCGAGGATGCTTACGAGGTCGTCTGTGTAAATTTGGCGCGAGCTTTTCAACGCCAGGAGCGCTACTATAATCTGCGATGGCGCTCCTGGCGGCCTACGATAGGGGAGACAGTATGGCGACACGAGCATCCCCTGTCGGACAAAGCGCGAGGCTTCAACGCCAAGCTCGCGCCGAAATACTCCGGGCCGTACGAAGTCCGGAAGATAATCTCGCCGGTAATCATCGATCTCCGCGCTAAAAACGGCAAGTGGCTACGAAATATACACGTACAAGATTTGAAATCATGCAGCAACAACAACGAAAAGCCACAGGACGCGGAGGTCGACGATCCGGAAGGGGAACCCGAAACAACGGCCCGGAGTATAAAGCGACGGCCTCGAGCAACAAAGCCCACATCTTCTCGAGCTGTCGCCCCGCGATAAGCGAGAAGTTTTGGCAAGTGCAAACGCAAGCACAATAGCTAGCAATGAGCGAGCCCCGAGGAAAAGAGATCGAGGATCTCACCGTCCTCTGGACGGATCTCGCCCTCTCCGACGACGAGGAGAGGGCCCTGGCCGCCCCGCTGCCATCGACGTCGCCACCATCAGCGACGCAACCGCCGACGTCATCGCCGACGTCACCGCCGACGTCAACGCCAACGTCACTGACGATGTCACCGCCGCTACCACCAGCGAGCCCACCGCCGCCGTCGTCAAGGCCGCCGAACCCCCAAGTACCAGCAAGGGGGACAAGGATTCAGCGGTCGGACACGACACAATGTCGAAAAACGCTGATGTTGCCTACGGCTCCGTTGCCCCCACCACCCGGGCGCCGAGGACGCCAGCCCAAGGCACTGGCAGCAACAACGAGGGCTACCACCCGCCCCACACGGCCGCCGACGACTCCGCCGCCGCAACGACCGCCGCAACGACCGCCGCCGCAGCAACGGCCACCGCCGCAACGGCCGCCACCACCGCCACAACGGCCGCCACCACCGTCGCAACGGACGCCGCCGCAGCCGCAACGAACAGCAGGGACACCTCTCCCGCCGACGACGCGACCACCCTCGGGTCCGATCCCCGTCCAACCGCCGAGAATACTCCGACCGGTCGGCCCAAGGCCACCGCCGCCGGTCCTCGTCGAAGTGGAGCCCGGCGTCCATAAGCTCGTCCTCCACGCGGCCATCCACATCAGCCGTTGCTACCGCCTGCGAACACCTGAGGGGCGGTGGATGCTCCGATTCCACGCGGACGGCCAGTTCCGGTCCAGTCGCCGCCTACCGGACGACCCCTCTGCCAGGGGGGTGATTTAAGATTTCTAAAAATATTAAGTATACAATAATTATATATATGTGTCAAGTTTTTCAGTTGGCGCTACTGTTTTAATATATCACTTCTTTTGTACAGTAGAATAGTGTTGTAGAGTTTTATTTTAGTTATAAGTTTCATTTGTAAGAACTTATGTTATGTACATATCAGGTGTAATAAAAAGAAATCCACTATTTTTCCAATAGATGGCTTTAGTTATCTGTATCTCGTGTTGTATAAGTCCGATCGGGTTACACTAGATGGCGTTAGAAAGATGAGATTCGTACTGTTACGTCCTGGAGGAGGAGCGCAACTTGGCGCTTGTTTTCGCAAGCTCCGACGTACTCGCAAGTCAGCGGTACAGATCAAGGATCGGAGCGATCCCTTTATCTGACGCGGACGTACCCCGGTGGTCCTTAATTTAGGTCAAGGAACTGAATCCTTTTACCTGGGATAGGACCGTAAGCGACGGTTGAAGGAAGGGAGAATTTTTGTTGAGAATAATTAGTCGGAAATCGTAATTGGATTGCAATTACAAATAATTTGTTTTATTGATGATTAAGCGGAAGTTTATGAAGAAATAAAATTTGTACGATTTATTTATGTATATATATGTGTTGTGTAATTACATGGGTGTGATGATGTGGTGGGTTCTGGCGAGAATTCTTAATTAGTCCGAGGGATATTCGGATAAGGAAAGATCTTGTGTCGGGGTGGCTGGCGATGAGGGAGAGGATCGTCGCGAGGACGCCTCTGAAGGAGAAGGAGAATGAGTGGGGATGAGCCCGCGAAGTAACGCCGCGTGGAAACCACGTGTGCCCCCTCGTAACGGTGAGGTCGACGGGGAAGGTGTGGGGAATGGACTTCTAAGGAACGGAGAGGTTGTCGGAGATCGGTTCTCAGTGGGACTCAAGGATATAGGAGAGTAAGAGGGAGGGGTTTTGAGAGGAGAATCTGAAAGGAACAATAAGCTCGGGATTTTTGGTTCGTTAGGGTGGACAATATAATCCGGACGATCTTGTAATAAAAAATTTATAAAAGCTACTTCTAAGTCCTCGCGGTTTTCGTACTCTCCTGCAGTAGTCAGGTCCGTTTGGATTAGATAATTTTGAGCCACTGCAATTGTATTTTACAGTTAAGGAGGAATGACAAGGAGAATAGAAAAGGAGGTGAAACAAAATGAAAAGAAAAGAGATCATTCAGATGAAAGAAAATATAAATGACTTACTGCTGGACTCTTCTGATCTTAGTAGACAATGAAAGGTGTGATTGCTGCGTCTCTGTGTGGATAGATGCGTCAAGTTCTGCGCCAAGGACAGGCAGCTGGTTTTGGCAGGATAGCTCTCAATGACCCCAGAAGGCACAAGATCGTTGCACCGAATAATTAACAAGTGAAGAATACTGGTAGGCCTAAGCCACAAGTTGGCTTGATTGTTAAGAAAACCCTGAAGGGGTGCTGGAGAGAAGCGTCTGTCCTGGGTGCTGGATCGGCGAGAAGTGAGTAAGGCTTTTGACTTTTCTCAAAAAGTCAGCTCGGTTGAGAAAGTAGGGTTTTTAGGGGAATGTTGCAGATGATTATTTTATAGGAGATAAGATGCATGTGGCAATAAGAGGATTTTGAAAGACTTTTGTAAATAAAAAAAATCGTGGCAGCTATCTTAAGAAGTAAATATCGATATTTATAAGAACGATGTCGTGATGCTGGTATCAGTGATTATGTTCGTAGGAAATCAAATAGGGATTAGGTTAAGATTATTAGTATTTTCGGGGTATCAAAATTTCCAGAAATTGTTCGTGTGATAACTTGTGAGGTAGGTCGTGTTGTAACATGCCTGAGCGCATTTAGACGTGTAATCAGTAAAAATAAATTCGATTTCTCTTATTTATATAAGAGTTTTGAGGTTCGCTGAGTCAGCATGACGTAACACCCCCCACCTTAGACAAATGTTGGGGTAACCAACATTTGCTAGTGGAATGTATTGGGTGAGTGCAAAAGTTCGTGCGGAGTTTCAATAGATGGAGTTATAAGCGTCGTAAAGTGTTGTCATTAATACTTCCATCTACATATTATATAATGTTGGAAAGGTGATGTCTTCATCTGTTATTAAAAAAAAATCATTTGTTTTCATACAAACTGCTTCGAGAAATATCACTTTAAAAATGAGTATCGATAAGGTGCATTTACGGCATGTTATGCTTTACGAGTTTCGGAAGGGAATAAACGTTGCCGCAGCCGTAAAAAACATTCAGGATGTTTATCAGGATGAAGCACCAGCTAAACGAACTGTGGAAAAATGGTTTGCTAAATTTCGGCGCGGAGAATTTAACCTTGAAGACGAGCCACGCTCTGGTCGACCTTCTGACATTGATGACGATGTTTTGCGTACTTTAGTGCTCAATAATCCGCGAATTTCAACAGAAGAAGTTGCTACAGCACTAAACGTTGACCGATCAACCGCTTTTCGGCATTTAAAAAAGATGGGATTCGATTTGAAGCTCGATATATGGGTGCCCCATTTGCTGACCGAGAAGAACAAAATCAAGCGAATTTCTGCAGCCGTTTCTTTACTCGGGCGGCTCAATAACGAGTCGTTTTTGGATCGACTAGTGACGGGCGATGAGAAATGGGTCCTCTGCAACAATGTTCAGCGCAAACGGACATGGAAACAATCAGGTGAGCATGGTGACGCAATGCCAAAGGCCAGTTTGCACCCGATGAAGGTGATGCTCTCTGTTTGGTGGGATTGCAAGGGCATAATCTATTTCGAGCTTCTCCCCGCTGGCGAAACGATTGATTCGGACAAGTACTGTCGCCAATTAACCAATCTGAATCGAGAAATAAAAGAGAAACGTCCGATTTTGTCAAATCGCAAGGGAGTCGTCTTTCATCACGACAACGCCAGACCACACGTTTCGAAAAAGACGCTGCGCAAACTGAAGAGCCTGAAATGTGATGTTTTAACGCATCCACCGTATTCTCCTGATATCGCACCATCTGACTATCACTTGTTCCGGTCATTGCAAAATTATTTAAATGGAAAAAATTTTGACTCTTTGGCGGCCTTAAAAAACGGCGTCTCTTCGTTCTTCGAATCTAAACCGCGCAGTTTTTATGATCGAGACATCCGTATGCTGCCAGAACGTTGGGAAAAGATTGTAGAAAACGATGGAGAATATATCATTGATTGAATAAAGATTTTTGTTTGCCTAATCACTGTGTGACTTTTACTCACAAACTCCGCACGAACTTTTGCACTCACCCAATATTAGGTTTAGGTGTAGGTTTAGGAAGAGGAAAGATAGAAGGCAACCTCCAATTCCTCTTCCTTCTTTTCTTTCGTCTTCCTAAGAATGTTGAACAAATGTATTTTGTGTTTATGTTTTGATTTTAGTTTAGGATAGAAGGAGGAAAGATAGAAGGCAACCTCCAATTCTTCTTCCTTCTTTTCTTTCGTCCTTCTATGTGGGTGTGTATGTATGTATATAGTAGAGAGAAAAGTAAATGGTGTTGAAACATTATAAAAAGGAAATTGATTGTTATAATTTCTCATTATTATTAATTATTCTAAAATTATTGTTATTATTATAAATATTTCCTTTTCTTTCTTTTTTTTCAATATGATATGTAATGAGAATGCATGTAATATGTAATACGCTATATATATACAACGTGTAAGGGTATGTAAAAATATATAAAAGTATAAAAGCATATAAAAGTATAGGAGTATATAAAAGTATGTAAGAGTGTAAGAATATGTGGTATATATGTATTTATGTATATTGGCAAGGTTACTTTGGTTGTTAATATTCGCTGATTGGTTCAGCTTGGCCCAGTTCAATTAGTTCTGTTCTTAAGAAGCTGTAGCTTAGCCGATTAGGACGGATCATCCGAATTTCGACTTCCGCTGATTGTGAGGATACAGTTTTTCGGATCCTCATCCATCCCTCTTCACCTTCTGCCAAAATTTTGGTTAATTGCTTAGCCTTCGTTGACCACGCTGAGGACGATCCTACAGGTTTTATATTATATAGTGTACAGGGAATGGTTTGCCAAGACATCTGGTGGAACTGGTCCGGTAGTTGATATATATCGATGAATGCTTTTACGACAGTTTCTCCCCAGTCGCCCAGTCGTATGGAGGCAATTCCTCTCTTCGTTGCTATTACTATGCCTCCACCATTGATCGAGGTTACGTACTGCTACTATTTTTCCTGGGATGATCGCGTGAGGTAGCAGGATGTACTTGTTTGACCTTCTTTTTAGTACACACTCCAGGTCTTCTTGTAACTCCAGGAGCGTTGTTTTGTTATACTTGAATTGCACCCAAAATAACGAGGGGGATTCCACTCGAATGATTTGCACCGGTAAAGGGTTTCGAGTGAGTAAGGTAGTGTTGATATGCGTGATATTCACTCCTAAAATAAATGAAATGAGGTCATGAAATGAGGAAATAAATATCATGAGGAGGATAAAGATGTTGATGTTCGGTTTGATTGATAGACGTAGGTGGTTCGTTAATTATTAGTGGATGGTTAGGTTCTATGGTAACAGTCTGTAATTCAGTTGATTCTGTTTTAGTTTTGGGGGTCCTTTTTCCACCGATTAAGATTAATAGTTGTGTAAGAGAGTCCCATAAGGCTCCTATTAAGTAGCAAGAACATCCATATATAGAATGTAATGCGTAACCATGTAGAACGGTATCCAGTAGTAATTTAATGATTCTGAAAATGAGAAAGATTCCCATTATCCCCGCACTGATGTTGCCGAAAATAAAAAATCGACCCCAGATTTTTTTCCAAGTTGATGTAGCTAATTCTTCTAATGAGTTTTCGTCTAAAAAGTTTGTGAAAGATCCTCTGTGGATAGTGGCGCTTTGTCCCATCATCGCTCGGGCCATTGTGTTGAGAACTGAGGGACGTTCAGCGGGAAACAATATATGATCTTTGAATTCTTCAAGGTCGGCTTAACTGTATATTCCGCTAGTGGCTAATGCTTCAGGGCTGG